GATTACGCGCACATTGAAGTCGGGTTGAAGATTTGACTTCCACACAGCCGCGGACGCGCCCGTCTCGACGAAGCACGCGGGCGCGGCCGCGCGCGGCCAGGGCAGGCCCGCCACGGGCGCGAAGTCCGCCGCCGACGCGCCGCTCCCGCCGGCGCCGCCGTAGAAGTGGCGCGACGCGAAGTCCGCGAGCCGCGGGTGCTGGCGGTAGTTGCGCGTCAGCTCGGTCGCTTCGACGGCCGCGGACCGGAACCGGTGGAGCAGCGACCGCGGCGCGTCGACGGCCTCGCCGCAGAGCGCGAGGCGCTCGCAGCCGCAGCGGAGCAGCGGCACCAGCGCCTACGAGCGCGTCGTCGAGCGAGTCCGCGGCCGCGCGGGAGGGAGGCGACGCGCGACGGAAGATGAAGAGTGATGGAAGTAGGAAGTTCGAGAGGAAACACACTCAGGGATATGAACCAAGGAGTCGTCAGAGGGCGGCCATTTTGGCGCGCCGTCGGGTAGAAGTCACCAAATATTTGGAAAAGGGCATCATCGCGCGATCGAAAAAACGGACGCGGGCGCGGGACGTCGAGCTCGTCGGACGCGTGCGCGTCGTCGTAGAGGATGGCGCGGAAGGCGCCGAGGGGCCGGAGCTGGGGCGTCGCCGCGGCGAGGGTCGTGCAGCAGATGACGTCCGCGGCCCGGAGCACGTCGCCGCGGAGCTGCGCGTCCGCGGGCGCCTTCGCCGCGGGCGGCTCCGACGTCGCGCGGAGCGCCGCGATCTCCTCGAGCAGGCCGTCCCGGCTCTCGACGGGCGCCTCGAAGCCGCCGGCGTCCGCGGCGCGCCAGGGCTCGCCGGCGACGTCGACGGCCCAGCCCTCGCGCGGCGGCCGCGCGTCGTCGCGCGGCGCGAACGCGACTTCCCCGTCGCCCCTCGAGACGCGCCAGCCCCGGCGGCCCTGCCGGGAGCCCGCGGGCCGGACGCCGTCGGAGAAGAAGCACACGAGGTCGCCCTTGGCGTAGGCCGGCCGGCCCTCGGCGCCGGGCCGCGCGGGTCCCGCGACCTCGACCCAGTCGCCGTTGAGCTCGGCGTCGTTCGACACGCCGACGCACGTCGCGACGGTCGCCGCGGGCCGGACGGCGCCGCCGCCGCGCCGCGACCGGCGCCAGGCGTCGCGCGCGTCGTCGCGGGCCTTGGCGAGGTCGCCGAGCGCCAGGCCGTCGAGGTCGCGGCACGCGTCGCGCTTCGCGGCGTCGCGCGCGGCCGCGGCGCGCGCCGCGGCGCGCGCGGCCGCGGCGGACCGCGCGGCCGCGACGCGCGCCTCGAGGGCGAGGGACGCGTCGCCGCCCGCCCCGCCGACGGCGACGACGTCGAGGCCGAGCGCCGCGCAGCGCCGCGCGAGCGCGGCCGCGGCCGACGGCGACTCCGCGGCCGCGAGCGCGGGCTTGAGGCCCAGCGTCGCGGCCCAGTGCTTGAGCACGTGGGCCGCGACCGTCGTCTTGCCCGAGCCCGGCGGGCCCAGCACGAGGGACGCCGTCCGCGAGCAGCACGCCAGGACGCCCGCGGCCTGCGCGTCGTCGAGCCCTCCGCGGCCCGCGTCGATCGCGGCCCGCGCGCGGGCGTCGAGGGCCGCGCCGCCCGGCGCGACGGCGGCCATGGCCGCGACGGACATGGGCCGCCTCGCCGCCCGGAAGGGCGACGCGGCCGTGAAGGTCCGGACGTCCGCGCACGCGCCGGAGGCGAGCGCGTCCGCGAGGCGTCCCACGTAGTCGAGGCATGTCGACAGAGCGTCGTCGTCCCCGCGCGCCACGGCGTCGGCGTCGTACTCGTCGACGACGAGCACGTTGCCCGGCCACCGGCGCATCTTCCGCGCGGTGTCGTCGACCATGACCTGGGCAGCAAAAGGGTGCGAAATTCCCAACTTCAAAGGCTCCTATCTCGGTCGTTTTCCGCTCGTTTCGGCTGATTTTTGGACGAGCGATCATCTCTCGGAACGGTCTCGAAGCGTGGGTGCTGTTTGCGAAACGCGCGCGCGCGGAACACTCACGTTGAAGCGACGTTGAATCACCCTTTTGCTGCCCTGACCATGACCGTGTTCGTCGCGTCGAAGCCAAACGCCGCGCCGTCGTGGGCCCAGACCTTGTCGAGGCAGCGCACCGTGTCCCAGGCGTGGCGCCGCCCGGCCTCGTCGTCGTCCGGGGCGTTGAACTCCGCCGCGTAGAGCTCGGGCGCGCCGCCCGACCCGCAGAGCGCGCGGACCGCGGGCTCCGCGTTCCGCCTCTGCATCGACGTGTAGAAGGCGAAGACGACGTCCGCGCGCCCCGCGAGCGCCGCCACGAGCTCGGCGGCGCCCTCGCGGAGGTAGTAGTAGAGGCGGTTTGTGTGCACGAGGTCCGGCGGCCGCGCGCCGGGGATTCTGGCCGTCGTCCGCACGAGCAGGGTCCCGTTCATGTCCGCTAGAACGAGCAGCCGCCGGCCCGCCGTCGCGCCGGCGCGCGACGCGTCGGGCCGCACGGCGACGCCGGGCGCCCGGTCCCGGGACGGCGCCGCGTCCCGCGCCGGCGCCGGGGACCCGGTCGCCGCGGACGCGGTCGCCGGGGACTCCGTCGCCGCGTCGCGCGGCGGCGCCGGGGACCCGCGCGCCGCGCCGAGCACCGCGAGGCGCAGGAGCGGGTTGAGCCGCGGCGCGTCGCCGGCGACGAGGGCCGCGAGGGCGTCGCGGCGGCGCAGGAACGGCTCGCGCGGCGGGCCGACGTCGAGGCGCCAGGCGCCGTCGCCGACGCCGCGGCGGCAGTCCTCCGCGGCGGCCTCGGAGCCGAACGCGAGGGTCACGCTGCGCCGCTTCGCGTGGACCTCGACGCAGGTGCCCTCGGCGACGGCGTCGCGCAGCGGGTCGCCGCGCGAGACGACGACGGCGTCGCCGCAGCCCATCGCCAGCGCGCGGAACGCGGCCGCGTCGAGGGCCGTCGAAAACGCGAGCGCCCCGGGCCGGCCCGGCGCCGCGGCGGGCGCCGCGACGCCCGCGGCGGCCGGCGGCCCCCGCAGCCGCCTCCGCGCGCGGCCCGCGGCGCCGAGGTGGTCCGCGACGAGCGCCGCGTGCGTCGCTCCGAAGAACGCGCCGTGCGGGCCGACGACGCAGCCCTCGAGCCGTCGCGCGTCGACGGGCAGCCTCCGCGCGAGGTCCGCCGCGGGCGTCGCCGCCGCGGGCGCGTCGGCGTCGCGGAAGCCGCCGGCGACGGCGCGCCGCGGCCCGTCGGGCGCGTCGGCGACGTGCCAGCCCGCCCGCGGCGGCGAGCGCGCGTCCGACGCGCAGTGCGCCACGAGCCCCTCGGGCCGGCCGAACGTCGCGCCGACCCACCAGCCGCGCGCCGCGCGCGAGAAGCGGAAGTAGAAGACGACGAGGTCTTCGCGGGCGTACGCGGGCCGCTCGGTCCAGGCGTCGTGCGCCCGGCACCGCGCGAAGCGGCCGCCGAAGCGGCCGTCGAAGACGCACGCCTCCGGCTCCGCGACGAGGCCGCGGTCGCCGAGGCCCTCGTCCTCGGACTCGGACGGCTCGCCGAGGCCGTCGTCGGGCTCGTCGGACTCGTCGTCGCTCGCGGCCTCGCCGCCGACGTGCGCGAGGTCCAGCCCCAGCGCCGCCGCGTCGCGCCGGTCGCCGGCGCCGAGGAGCGGGAGCGCGCCCGCGCAGTTCGCGAGGAGCCGCGCGCACACGGGCCGGTAGCACTCGGCGCCGAGGCACCGGTCCGTGAGCCGGAAGAGCGACGCCGGGTCGAGCTCGACGCGCTGGCCGAGCGCGCCGTCGTCCGGCGCCGCGGCGCCCGCGAGCGCCGCATCCGGAGGCGCGCCGCCGCACCACGCCAACGCCCGGGCCAGCGCCGGCGCGCCGAGCGACGCCGCCACGTCCAGGACCTCGACGAGGAGCGCGTTCGGCGCGCGGCCGTCGGCCTCCTTCGCGCGCGCGATGGTCGCCATCGCGCCCGCGAGCTCGCGCGCGTCGCCCGCGCCGCCGACGTCCCGCGGCGGCGGCCGCGGCGGCGCGGCCGGCGCCGCCGGCGCCGGCGCCGGCGGCCGCGGCGCGGCGACGACGAGCGGCGCCGTCGGCCGCGCCTCGGCGACGACGACGGGCGACGCGCCGAGCGGCTCGGCCGCGGACGCGTAGTCCGGCGCGCTCCGCCGGAGCTCGCCTTCGCTGTGGGCGAACTTGCACTTGTCGCCGTAGGCGCAGGGCCGCCCGTTGACGATCTGGAGGCACATCTTGGTCTTGTACCTCACGTCGAGGTGCGCGGGCTCCGCGAGCTTCCGCGGCCCCGCGTAGCCGTAGGCGCGGTTGACCTCCTGGGCCTGCGCGTAGCGCGCGAGCGACGCGGGCATCGCGGCGCGCGGCGGCGCCGCGTAGGCCGGCGTCTGCGGCGCGGCGTAGGCCGGGGTCGGCGCGCCGTACGGCGCGGCCGCCGCGTAGGCCGGCGCGCGCGCGGCCGCGGCGCCGGCGTAGTAGGCCGCGTAGTGCGCGGCGGCGTGGGCCGTGTACCCGCTCTGCAGGTTCGCCGCCGCCGCGCCGCCGCCGCGGTGCTGCGTGAACTGCGGGTGCTGGCCCGCCGCGGGCGGCGCGTACTGCTGCTGCTGCGCGTACTGCTGCTGCGCCTGCTGCTGCGCGGCCGCCGCGTGGGCGCTGGCGTAGGGGTCCGGCCGCTGGCCCGACATAGTTTTTGGTGTCGCGTTAGGCCCGCAGCGGCCTCGCGCTCAGCTCCATAGCACTTCGTGCTGCCTGCGCCTCGGACGCCGGGCGCCGGGGGTTGCGGCATTGACGTCGACCGGGCCGCCGCGGCGGCCGCGGACGCCCTCGGCGCAGCCGCAGCCGCGACCCCGGCCGCCGGGGGTCGTCTGACACATCCCGCCGGACGCGTTCTGCGCCGACCCGGTCCGCGCGTCCTACAGCCCCCACGCCGTGAGCGCGTGCTTCGACCCCGCGCGCGCGCACCCGCGGGCCGCGTGCCTCCGGCGGCGGGCGGGGGCGGCTTCGGTATCACCAGACCTCGAGGTCCTTGCCCGCGTACGCGGGGAGCAGGTGGCGGTGCTCGTTGTAGGTCGCGACGAGGGCCTCGACGTAGCGGGCGTGGTACTTGGCGACGTCGGCCATCGTCGGGCTGTCGATCTTCGGCAGGACGACGGGGTCGCCGACGGCGCTCACGCAGGGCACGCGCCGCGGGAGCACGGGGCAATACCAACACCCGACGCCGAAGCCGAAGGGGAGCGAGAACCGCTTCGTCATCCAGAGGCGGCACCGCAGGATCGGCCCCCAGCGCTGGAGGGGCAGCATGCCGTACATCTGGGATTCGCCGAGGTGGTAGACGGGCACGAGGTCGTAGCCGTGCTCGAGCGCGAGCTTCACGAAGCCGAAGCGCCGCTTGAGGAACACGCGCTCGTGGACGGGGTCCGCGAGCACGACCTCGTCGATGCCGCCGGGGATCACGGCGAGGTCGACGCCGCGCCGCATCTCCGTGGCGACGGTCTCGCGCATCGCGCCGATGCCGCCGACGGTCTGCATGAGCTGGCGGTTGAAGGGCATCTGGAAGCAGATATCGCTGACGACGGCGCGGCAGTCGGCGCGCGAGCCCACGGCGAGGCAGTTGATGGCCACGACGCCGTGGGGATGGTGCGCGAAGACCGCGGGCTTCGCGCCCGGCGCCCGGCGGAGGCCCGCCTCGTTCATGATGGCGTGGCTGGGGAACCAGTCCTGCGTCGGGCGGGCGGGATTTGCGCGCGCGCGCGCGGTCCGACGGACGCCGGCGGATTGCGGTCATGCGCTGCAGGAACTTGATGAAGGCGACGCGACGCGGCAGCGGCGGCGCGTTGGCCAGCGTCGCCCAGATGCCGCACGTGAGCGCGAGGCCCCGGGGCAGCCCGAAGAGAACACTGGGGAGCCAGAGGGTCGCGCTGGGGAGCACGACCCACATGCCGATCCAGAGCGAGAGCGCGCACGCCGACAGCGCCACGGCGTGCTCGCCGTCCTTGTCCATGGTCACCGCTGCCGCGGCGATGGCCGCGCTCGTCTGCATGCTCGAGGCGAATCCAGAAGCAACCGCGATGATGACACGCTTTCAAGTTCAAGCACACGTGTGCGATGACGTCAAACACCCGGCGCGGCAGCGCCCACGTCCCCGTCGCATCGACCAGCCCCGTCGAGCGCGACGATGCGACTCACACCGGATTAGGCGGCGCGTCGGCGAGCGCGGCGAGGCGCTTCTTCTCCGCGCGCTCGGCGCGGATGGCGGCGATCTCCTCCGGCGTCCGCGCGTTGATGGCTGCGCGCTCCTCCGGCGACCGCCGCGGGCGCCGCCGCCGCCGGCCGCGGCCGCCGGGCCGGTGCTGCGCCTGCTTCTGGAGCCGCCGCGCGTCGCGGATCCAGTCCTCCTCGACGAGCGGCATGCCGTCGAAGCGTCGCGCGCCGGCCCAGCGGTCGCCGACGAGCGCGCCGTCGACGCGATGGGCGCGGCCCAGCGGCAGCGACGCGACGCGCTCGAACTGGCCCGCGCCGCCTTCCCTCCGCATCAGATAGACCGCGTCGTCGCAGTCGAACGTGACGGAGAGGCCCGCGAGGGCCCCCTTCGCCGCCTCCGCGGCGTCGGCCGACGGGAAGTGCGAGAGCGTGAGGTGCGGCGTGAAGACGCCGTCGCGCTGCTGGTGGTGGCACGTGGGCAGCGCCCGCTGCAGGGCGTCCTGCAGCGCGCGCAGTTTCTCGACGTCGTCGGCGCGCGGGCCGACGTAGAGCACGCCGCGCGCGCGGCCGCCGAAGACGCCCAGGGCGTCGAGCGTGACGGAGAAGGGCTCGAAGTCGCAAAGCACGGGCGCGACGGCGTCGACGGCCTCGGCGAAGTGCGCCGGCGGCACCAGCGGGTACAAGAGGTTGATATGCGGCGGCCAGCGGTAGAGGCCCTTGTCCCGCAGCTGGCGCCGCGCGCTTTGCAGGTCGTGCCAGGCCGCCTCCGGCGGCACGAGCGCGATCGTCGCCGTGTGCACGAGCGGCGCTTCGAATGCTGAGCACGACGCGAGCACGGAAAGCGTCATAGATGCGCGGACCATCGAATTTGCCACAGGGAGATTGCGCAACCTTCTTGTTGTTCAACTTGCTGCGGGTAAAAGTCGGACGAGTTTCGTACGCGTGGTCGTCGACGTCTCGCTTGCGGACCCTATCTTGCAATAAAATGGCGCCTCGCGAGGCCAGCCCGGTGCCGCTCGCGCAATGGGGCAGCATGCTCACGGCAGCGACCTGCGCCATGGCCGACGAGCCGATGGCAGCCCCGCACGCAGCCCACCGGGTGACGCCCGAGAAGGCGGCAGCCTTGCACGCAGCCCACCGGGTGACGCCCGACGCCGCGCTGCGCGAGCTCGCCCGCGTGGAAGCTGCCGCGGACGTCGCGACGCCCGTCGAGGCGGAGCTGGCGGCCGTCGGCGACGCCGAGGTCTTGGCGGAGATGTCGCGCTCGTCGCAGTGGCAAGCGAGTTTGAAGGGCTGGCTGACGCACCACGAGGTCTGCAGCTCCGCGTCGGCGAGCCGCACGGCCGCGCTGCTCTGGCGCGGCGGCTTCGACTCCTTCTGGGCGCTGATGCAGGCCGACGAGGACGCGTTCAAGGCCCGCGGCCTCGAGGACAGGCGCGCGTCCCGCCTCGCGGCCGCGCTGCGGCGCGACCGCGCGGCCGTCATCGCGCGCCGCGACGACGCGGACCGGGCGCTCGAGCTCGTCCAGAAAGCGGCAAAGGCGGGCCGCGAGGTCCACGTGGCCGTCTACGACGGCGACGAGTCGCTCGCGTCGGTGCGCGTGTCGGCCGCGGGCCTCGCGGCGGTCATCGCCGACGAGGCCGAGGCGCCGGGCCCGTGGGGCGACGACGGCGCCTCCGAGCCGGAGTCCGAGGCGTCAGAAGCGCCCAAGGACTTCCTCCTCTTCCCGTCGACCTTCGCGCCGCTCCCGGCCGCGGAGGAGACCCCGAAGAAGCCGCGGCGCCTCTCGCCTCCGCGGCCGGGGCGCCTCTCGCCCGTGCAGGGCGCCGCGCCGCTCTTCCCGCGCGTCACGCCGCCGAACGAGGTCGCGCTCGAGCCCGTGCAGGGCGCCTCGCCGCTCTTCCCGCGCGTCACGCCGCCGAACGAGGTCGCGCTCGAGCCCGTGCGCGCGCTGTTCCGGCCCGCGTCCGCGCGCGCGGCGGCGGTCGAGGACGTCGCGAAGCCGCCGCGCGCGAAGTCCGCGCCGCTGAAGGCCCTCCGCGGCTGCCTCTCGCGGTCCCGGTCCGCCGGCGTGCTCGAAGACCGCCGCGTCTCCTTCGTCGACTCCGCGCCGCCCATGCGCATCGTCGGGTAAGACATCCTACTCTTGCGGCATCATGGCGGCACCATGCAGCTGGAACAAAATAGGGGGAGGCGATGCTTGCCTGAGCTGCAATGTCGTCCTGGAGCGACGTCGTCGCCTGCGCGAGCGACGACGCCGCAGCCACGTTCCTCGAGCACGGCGTCGCCGTGATCCCAAACGCCGTCGACGACGCCACCGTCGACGCCTGCCGGACGCGCGCCATCGAGGACCTCGCGGCCTGCGAGGCCGCCGTCGCTCAGCGGCTCGAGGCGCTGGACCCGACGGCGCCCGACGCGCACCACGAGGCCGTGCGCTGCGAGCGCTGCGACTTCGCGGAGCTCGTGCGGCGCGACGGCGGGCGCTGCGACGTCCGCGTGCGCTGCGGCGACGCGCCCTACGCGGACCTCTTCCGCCACGAGGCGATCCTGCCCGCGGCGCGCGCGGCGCTCGGCGGCGGCGACGTCGTCCTCCTGTACAGCGGCGTCATGGTCGCGCGCGCGGGCGCGGCGGAGGACCAAAAGTGGCACAAGGACGGCGACCACCTCTTCGCCGAGGGCGGCGACCAGCCGCCGCACGCGCTCACCGTGTTTATTCCGCTCCAGGACCTGACGCCGTCGAACGGGCCCACGGAATTCCGACTCGGCTCGCACCGACGGTCCGCGGAGAGCCCCCCGAAGCGCTCCCGGCGGTCGCCGGTGGCGCCGACGTGCGCCAGGGGGTCCGCGCTCCTCTTCGACTACCGCGTCGACCACCGCGGGCTCGCGAACCGCTCGGAAGCCGATCGCCTCGTCTTTTTCATGGCCTACGCGCGGCCCTGGTTCCGCGACGCGAAGAACACGCGGTCCAAGGTGCCGCTGTTCCCGGCGACGTTCGCGCCCTGGGCGCCGCGCGCGCTCGCCGCGGACGCGGCGGACGACGCGGTGCTGACCGGGGAGGACTCGGGCGAGCGCTTCGTGCTGTTCGAGATGACCGTGGACCTCGGCGGCGAAACGTCGGGCACGATCCGCGTGCACGACGGCGACGACGCCATGGACCTCGCGCGCGCGTTCTGCGAGAGGCACGCGCTCGACGAGAGCGTCCGCGCGCCCCTCGCGGACTCGATCCTCGAACAGGCGGCGCTCGCGCGGGGGTCCTAATCCCTCGAGGAGCCTAGGTTGGTTAGGATAGACTACGCGTAGACGGATTTCAAGGTGGGCACCACGCTCAGGCCCGTGTGTTCGACGTCCTCGAGCGCTTGTTGGTGCCTGGCGAGACATTGGTATTCCATGCCAAGCGCCTTTGCCAAATCAGCCATCTGCTGTGTGTTCTCTGGGGCGATTTCGGTGCGCATGAGGAGTGCTTCTTTCTCGGCAATGCGCTGCCTGGTCAGTTCCATCCGGTTCGTAGCTCGAAGTTGTGCGTCATAGATTTCGCTGTCGCTCAACTGTGGGACATCGGGGCATCGCGATTCCGCGCGGCCGTCGCGGCCGCTCCGCCAGAACGAAAAGATGTGCCAGACCACCTCATTTGGGAGAGGCGCGGCGCGCATGGGCGCGCGTTTCGTCGATGCCCCGGGCGCACCGAAAAGGCGCTGGAGGACGGGATCCGCCGGCGGCGTCGCGCGGCCGCGCGCGCAAAGCAGGCGCAGCCGCACGAGTTCGACGCGCGGCTCTTTCAAGTAGCTTCGATAAGATCCGGCCGCCAGCACGCCGGCTAGAAATCCAGGGAAGTTTGCATACGTGAAGTGGCTATGATACTCAGTAAAGTAGGGGTCATCAGCGATAGCCATTCGCTCACGTGTCCCATCTGGTCTCACAGCGAAGCACGCGTGTAAAGCAGTGTCCAAGTCCGCGCCATGAAGAAGGAGCGTTTTGATTGTCTCAAAGTGCGGCGCATCGGCCATGGCGATAAATAGCACTGTGCGCTCTTCGAGGCAGTCCGTGATACCAGAAACGTTATGCTCGGGGTCGTAAGCAAGACCCCAAGTATCGATTTCAGCACCGTATTTCAGAAGCATCGAGACTCCGACTGCATTACCCCGGCGAGCGCAAACAGCTAGGGGAGACTCTTGGTACCGTATAGTCTCTGTCTTGCCTGTAAACTTGCGATTGGGGTCTGCACCGTTTTCCAGGAGGAGGGAAATGCAAGCGTTCGCTTTATCGTGGCGGTCGACAAGGCAGCGGACTTCACGGAGCTCGAAGTCGCCACTCTCGTCCTCTCCATACCCTGAACTGTGGAATACGTCATAGAAGAACGGAAAGAGGGTGCATGCACATCCCAATACCGTCATGTCGCCATCCGCGTTCGTCGCGTTGACATCTGCGCCGCCGCGCTCGATGAGCGTGCGGACGGTCTCGACGCACACCTCGCGGGAGGCGTGAGCGTAGCCGCACGCATACATGAGAAGCGACGCGGGCGAATAAAATTGACCTTGCTGAGTAGCGAGCGAACGGTACATGTCATCAATTCGAACAGACCCGCCATTTACGCCCTGTGTAAGCTCCCGAAGAGTCTGCCAGTGTTCCACGCCACCGTGAACGCCTTCGTGCACGACCGTGAGTTCGACATCCTCGAGCCTGTGAGCACCGAACACCTCGGACGCATACTCGTCGCTGTCGGACTCAGACTCGGACGCCATCTCGTGGCGCCGGCCGCTTTTGTTTTGGGCCTTTGCGGTAAATCCGCCGACAGCGATTCCGACACGTAAAAAACCGTCGAAGCTCGACGGCATCGGCGCAGACAAAGATCCAAACCTCCACCTTACTTCCCGCTCAAAATCCCGTCGAGCCACGCCCCGTCGACGCCCGGCGGCGCGCTGCCCGGCACGCCGAGCGTCAGCGCCGCGGCCGCGAGCCCCGCGCGCGCCGCGGATCGCAGATCCGCGCCGCGCGCGACGGCGGCCGCGGCGACGCCGCAGAGCGCGTCGCCGGCGCCGTTGGACGAGACGACGCGCGGCGGTTTCGGCGCGGGGAAGGACGTGACGACGTCGTCGCCGGCGACGGCGAGGAGCGCGCCGCGGTCGCCGCGCGTGACGAGGACCGCGCGGTCGCCGGCGTCGCCCGCGGCCTCGCGCATGGCCTCGGCGAGGCGCAGGGCCCGCTCGCCGACGCCGCCGGCGACGTCGGCGCCGAGGGCCGCGAGGAGCGGGTCGAGCTCGCGCTCCGCGGGCGTCACGACCGCGACGCGCGGGAGCAGCGCCGCGAACGCCGCGCCGGCCTTGGCCGCGGACGTGGGCTCGAGCCAGAGGGCCTGGTCGTCGGTCAGGGCGTCGAGGAGGGCGGCGTAGGTCGCGGCGTCGCCGTTGGCGTCGGCGACGACGACGCGCGCGCCCGCGACGGCCGCCGCGACGGCGCCGGCCGCCGGCCGCGGCGCCGCGTCCTCCGCGAAGACGGCGCCGACGAGGTCGCCCGCGCCGTCGTGGACGGCGACGTAGGTCGACGACGCCGCCGTCGCCGCGGCGAAGGACGCGTCGACGCCGTCGGCGGCGAGCGCCGCGAGGGACCGCGGCTCCGCGGCCGTCGCGAGCGTCGTACTCGCGCCGGCGCGCGCGGCCGCGACGGCGACGTTGCGGCCGACGCCGCCGAAGGTCGTCGACGCGGCGCCCGGCGCCGACGTCCCCGCGCAGGGCCCGCCGGCGCGGCCGACGACGTCGACCGTCGACGCGCCGACGACGGCGACGTCGGGCGGGCGCCGCGCCGGCCCGCCGCCGGCGCGCGCGACGGCGATCTCCGCGGCGACGCGCGCGTTGTTCAGCACGAGGGCGATGTTCGCCTCCAGCGACGCGCCGCCCGTGACCTCCTCGAGCTTCGCGAGGAGGAAGGGCGTCGCGTCCTTGCCCGAGACGCCCCGCGCGGCCGCGTCCTCGAGCGCCGCGGCGATCGCGCCGTCGATCGCGTCGCCGTCCATGGGCGCCGGGTTCGGCACGGCGAGGACGGCGCCGCTCGCGAGGCCGAGCTCCGCGTTCTTCGCCAGCCAGCCGGCGACGCCCGCGGCGTCGTCGTAGCGCAGCGGCGCGCGGTTGATCTTGTTGTTGTCGCTCGACCGCGCCGCGAAGAACGCCGCGAGGTCGTCCGTGCCGTAGCCGATGACGGCGACGCCCTGCGTCTCCAGGACCTCCAGCGTCTTGGGCACGTCCAGGATGCTCTTGACGCCCGCGCAGACGACGAGGATGGGCGTCCGGCCGAGCTCGACGAGGTCCGCGGACACCTGGGCAGGAAAAGGGTGCGAAATTCCCAACTTTGGAGGCTCGTATCTCGGTCGTTTTCCACTCGTTTCGGCTAATTTTTGGACGAGCGATCATCTCTCGGAGCGCTCTCGACGCGTGGATGCTTTTCCGGAACGCGCGCGCGCGGAATATTCATGCTGAAGCGAACTCGAATCACTCTTTTCCTGCCCCGGCGGACGCGTCGAACGTCGCCTCCGCGCCGCGGTGCACGCCGCCGATGCCGCCCGTCGCGAAGACCTCGACGCCCGCGAGGTGCGCCGCCACCGCCGTGCCGGCGACCGTCGTCGCGCCGACGAGCGCGCCGTCGTTGGCACTCCGGCTCGCGACGTCCGCGAGGTCCCGGCGGCTGCACTTGACCGCGGCGCCCCGGTCGCCGGCGACGGCGACGCGCTCGAGCTCGGCGTCGCTCAGGCCCACGCGCAGTTTCCCGTCGAGCACGGCGACCGTCGCCGGCACGGCGCCGCCCGCGCGCACGCGCGCCTCGACGGCGCGCGCCACCTCGAGGTTCCTCGGGTAGGGCATGCCGTGGGTGATGATCGTCGACTCGAGGGCGACGACGGGGCCGCGCCGGTCCAGCGCGGCGCGCACCTCGGCGCTGCAGACGACGCCGCCGCTGCTGATGCCGCGGCGCGGCGCGGCCGCGAGGGCTCGCCGGATGCGGAGAGCCATCATCGTCTGCCGCAGCATGTTGCCTGCTCCGTGGCCTTCAACAACCGGGAAGAGGCGCGTATCCTTAACTTGGTGGTCCCGGCCGCGGCATCCGGTGCACGGAAGACTCCGGCGATGGGTGGATGGGGCGGCGGGCGGTGGGCGGACGAGTCGCGCGCGCGGCGGGCGCTTGGTCGACGCCGCGGGGCCGGTCGCGGCGCCTACTCGACGAAGGCGATGACGCCCATGACGGCGGCGATGGCGGTCTCGACGAGGTTGGCCTTGAGCGAGTCCTCGTTGACGCCGCTGTCCTTGAACTTGAGCGCGACGGACGCGATCCACAGCGACGCCACGACCTCGATCGTCGAGAACGAGGACGTGAGGCACGACGTGCAGTAGGTCGTCGCCGCGATGACGGCGTTGGTCGTGAAGACGCCGCCCGAGGCCGCGTCGACGATGGTCGTGGAGCCCACGCCCGCGTACTTGTCGAGCAGCGCGCCGCCGACGGTCACGCCCGCGAGCGTCTTGCCGACGCCGACCGCGAGGTCCGCGGTGATGGGGCCGACGTCCGCGCCGCCGCGGATCTACGGCGTGCGGGGGGTGGGCGCGGGCGAGGGGCCTTTAGGAGGGGCGGGCGGGGGGGCGAGGCGTGGGTTTGGCGCGCGATGTTCTGACCGATTCGAATCGCGCGAAAATCGGGGCGTCGCGCGCGGAACGAGGCGTCGCGCACCTTGAGGGCCTTCTTGTTCGTGCCGAGGGCACAGGCAGACGTGATGAGCATAAGAAGCTTGTACATGGTCGAGCGGTGCGTGAGGTTCGGGTTGAGCAAATGGGTGGAGATTTGTATTCCGAGCGGTGCTGGCCGGTGTTGAGGCAGTGCGTCGAGTTTCGCCCGGCCACTCGACTCATCCACCTCTCGCCCCGCAAGCCACCAGACCCGCGCCGAGACGTCGCCAAAAGCTCTCTCCGAGGTCTTCAGACTTGTGGCACTCCCTGCGACAACGCGAACGCGGCCGCGGCACCCTCGACGTTGAACCCGGAGATGCAGCCGTCCAAAAAAAGGCTGCCCCGTTATGGCCGCCTCGGACCACGCCCGCCGAGTCGCGCCGCGGAAGAACGGCACCTTCTTCGGGCGCGACGTGCAGAAATGGCCGACCTGGGGCACGCGCTTCGTCGACGTGTCCGTCGACGTGCCGCACAACGGCCCCCTGCCCTTCGCGCTCGTGAGCTTTCGCCACGGCGGCGGCTGGTGCTACTGCGTCGAGCGCGTGCTCGCGACGCGGTGCGCCGCGCGGCCCACGGACGAGTGCGTGCTGGGCGACGGCGAGCGCGCGGCGTTCGCCGGCGACGCGCGCGCGTGCGAGCGGGCGCTGCTCCGGCGACACGCGGGCGGGGCGGCGCCGCTGCGGCGGCGCCACGACGCGCCCGCGGGGCCGCGGCCGCTGCCGCTGCGCTTCGTGAGCGCGCTGATGCACGAGTACCAGGGCATCGAGGTCGAGCACGTCGAGGGCGAGTTCCACGCCAAGTGCGAATTGGCGATCGCGGCGGGCGCCGCGCGGCGGCGCCGCGTCGACCCCGTCGCGGCCATGGCCCTCGTGCGCGGCGCGGTGCTCGACAAGCGCTGGGGCTCGGAGCTCGGGGGCCGCGCGCACGTGCGGCGCGTCTGCTGCTCCGCGGACCTCGAGCACCTCTGCTGGGAGCGGCTCGAGGGCCCCGGCGACCTCGACGATCTCAAGCACGGCGGCGACGCGCGGCGCCTCGTCGCGGCGCCGCGGCCGGGCCGGAAGCGCGCGTTCAAGAGCGTCTGGCTCGGCGAGTGCGACGTCGTCGAGGGCTTCTCCGAGCGCGCGCCGAGCCTCGCGGAGCGGCTCGGGGGTTTCGCGCGCGGCGGCGCCGCGGAGCGATTCCGCTTCGCGGTGCGCGTCGAGGAGGAGGGCGTCGCGCGGCCGGGCTTCGCGTCGGCCCTGAGCGCCATCTCCGGCGAGGGCCTGCGCGCGGACGCGTCGCTGGCCTCGCGGCCCGCGTCGAAGGAGCTCCACTTCGCGTCGCGCGGCGCGGCGCGGGACGAGCGTGCCCCAACTTCAAAGGCGCCGCTCTCGGCCGGTGTCCACTCGTTTCGGCTGATGTTTCGACGAGCGATCATCGCTCGGAGCGCTCTTGAATTTTTTGGTGGCGCGCGCGCGCGCGGCGCGTTCGCGTTGAATGCATCGCCAGGCTCGGCACGTCGTTCCGCGACGCGTTCACGGACCTGAACCTCGCCTACGAGGAGACGGCGGGCGACCCGGCCCAGGAGACCATGCTCTTCGCCGGGGAGCGCTTCGTCGAGGCGCTCAAGGTCTGCTGCGGGTCCGCGCGCGCCGTCGGCCGCGAGCGCCGCGCGTCGGGCTTCCAGGACTGGCTCCTCCGGCCGCCGGCGTCGCCCCAGGCCCTCGCAGCGGCGTCGGCCGACGCCGACGCCGCGGCCCTCGCCGCGGCGACGGCGCTCAGGGACGAGGCGCGGCGCCGCGAGGCCCGCTTCGCCGGCGACGCCGCCGAGGACCCGGCCGCCGCGCCGCGAACTACGGCCGCGCCGCCGGTCCCGCGCGAGGCCTTCGCCGTGACCTTCGACGCGGGGACGCTGGGCCTGTCCATCGACGAGGACCCGGCGGATTCTCGGGGCCCGCCGCCGGTGATCCGCGTCGCCGCCGGCGGGCCCGCGGAGGCCATGGGCGTCCGCGTCGGCGACGTCCTCGTGCGCGTCGGGCCCCACGCGGGGCTCTCCTACGCCGGCGTCCTCGAGGAGCTGCCGAAGCTGCCGCGGCCCCTCGCGCTCGGCTTCCACCGCGGGGCGGCGGCGGCGCCGGCGGGACTCCGCGACGGGGACGTCGTCCTCGAGCAGGCGACGGCCGAGGCGCGGCGGCCGGACGTCCGGCGGGCGACGCCGGCGGGACTCCGCGACGGGGACGTCGTCCTCGAGCAGGCGACGGCCGAGGCGCGGCGGCCGGACGTCCGGCGGGCGACGGCGACGGTCCGCGCGGCGCCGCTCGAGGCGGCCGTCGCGCGGTCCGCGGCGAAGCGGCGCGGCGCGCCGCCGCCGCCGGACTCGTCGAGCGACGACACGTCCGCGGAGCCGCCCGCGGCCCCGCCGACGCCCCTTTCCGTCGCGGAGCTCGACGACCCGCCGCCGGACAGCGACGAGAGCCTCGCGCGCGACGTCGCGGCGTACGGGCGTTTCCGGGACGCGGACGGCGGCGACGCCCGCGTCGCGTCCGCCGCCGCCGCCGCCGCCGCCGCCGGGTCCGCGCGCGACGCGGCGGACGCGGAGCGGTCCGCGCGCGCCGCCGAGGCCTGCGCGGCGGACGCGGCCGCGAGCCTCGACGCGCTCCGCCGCGAGAGGCTCGAGGCGCGCAAGCAGCTCGCCGTCGCGACGCGCCGCGCGGAGACCGTCGAGCGGCGCGCCGCCGCCGTCGTCCGGGCCCTCGACGCGCCGCCGCCGCCGCCGCCGCGGCCCGGCGCCGGCGGCCCCGCGCCGGCGGCGGCGGCCCCGCTGTCCGCGGACGCGGCCGCGATCCTCCGGGGGCTCCCGGGCCGCCAGGCGCTCCTGCCGTCGGTCGTCGACGACGCGGCCCTCGCCTTCCCGCCGCCGGACTTCGAGCCGTCCTTCGACTACCTCGGCGCGTTCTCGGACGCGGCCCCGGCGTCGAGCCTCGCGTCGTCGTCCGCGCGGTCGCCGCTCGCCATCGACCGGTCCCGGGGGCGGAGCGGGTGGTAGTAAGGGGTGCTCGGACTTGGCAAGGCCGAGGGGCGCGTGGACACCGGCGCGTCGCACGTCGTCGGAGGCGTCGGTTGGCGGCCGTTCGACGGCTAGGCTAGCGCTTATCCCTTGTCCGGCAACTTGAAGCCTCCAAAAGATCGAGCTCCCAAGCAGATCCTCCTCGAAACACACCCTCAATTCGTGATGAGCCGTGTCCATCGGGATCTTTTGCCCTCCCGCCCAGCCACGGCATTCAAACCGCCCGCAACCTCCCCCCAGCACTCCCATGCACCCCCGCACCCGCGCAAACCACTCACCGCGCCGCGCCGCAGGTTAGAACATCATGAAGCTCGCCCTCGCCCTCGTCCTCGCCCCCGCCGCCGCCTTCCAGGCGCCGGTCGCCCAGAAGGCGTCCGTCGTCGTCAAGGACTCCATCGGCGTCGACCCCGGCCCGATCGAGCCGTCCGGCCTCTTCTGGGAGGACAAGGAGTCCCTCGCGCGCCGCCGCGCCGTCGAGATCAAGCACGGCCGCATCTCCATGATGGCGTTCCTCGGCATGATGGTCCAGGAGCTCGGCATCACGTTCCCCGGCTCGATCAACCTCGACGGCTCGGTCCAGTTCTCGGACATCCTCAAGGACGGCATGGGCTTCGCCGCGCTCGCCAACGTGCCGACGCTCGGCCTCGTGCAGATCCTCGCCTTCGGCGGCATCGCCGAGACGGTCGCCATGCCCGCCACGGAGTACACGGGCGGCCCCCAGAACCTCCCCGGCGGCTACGACGGCTCCGCGGGCACCATCCCCGGCGGCTACCCCTTCACGACCCAGATCGAGGACCCCACGGCCCGCACGCGCGCGCTCACCTGCGAGCTCCAGAACGGCCGCGCCGCCATGATGGGCGTCACGGGCGCGATGATGCACTCCCAGCTCGACTCGTGCGACCACCACTTCTTCTACCCCATCACGCACAACTAGGCGCGTCCAAAGCCCCGCGGTGACGCTCGGCGCGCGCGCGCCTAAGGATGCTCCCACGGACCTCCGGTGTGTTCGCGTCGACAGCAGCACGGGTAGTAAACAGAACCCCTAGTCGGCCTTGTGGTCGATGTGGCCGTGGGGGACGTGGCCGACGCGCCACGCGGGCCACGCGCGGTCGAAGGCCGCCTCGAGGACGTGCTCCGCGGGCTCGTCGATGAGCGGCATGAAGGGGATGAGGCCCAGCCCGACGACCGTCGGCCCGAACTTGACCGCGCGCGGCATGGCCGCGAAGGCGTCCATCGAGAAGAGCGCGTGCGACTTGTGGACGGCGGTGTGGATCACGAAGGCGGGGATGGCGAGGGACACGAGGGCGTGGAACGTGAGCTTGTAGGCCGCCGTCGCCGCGAGCACGTCCGAGTCGTGGCCCAGGAGCTGCTTCCGGCGCACGTCGCAGCCTGTGTGGAGATCGACCGGTGAGCTGGGACGTCGAAATTCTCTCGCTCGGCCGCGTCGAAGTCGATTCGGGTGATTTTTGGACGAATCGATTGCTCTGATCGAGATCTACAGAAGCACAGCCGAAGTGATCGTGTCGAACTATTGAAGTCGGGTCGAAGCGTCGATTCGCGCGCGGGTCGGAGCCGGCGTCGTAGCAGACGTAGCCGACGGCGACGCCGTACGTCGCCGTGACCTGGGCAGGAAAAGAGTGATTCAAGTTCGCTTCAATGTGAGTGTTCCGCGCGCGCGCGTTCCAGAAATAGCATCCACGCTTCGAGAGCGCTCCGAGGGATGATCGCTCGTCCAAAAATTAGCCGAAACGAGTGGAAAACGGCCGAGAGAGGAGCCTTTGAAGTTGGGAATTTCGCTCCCGTTTCCCGCCCTGGCCGTGACCATCCAGGGCTTGAGCACGGGCCGCATGGACTCGCCGACGTCGCTGCTGTAGGCGACGTAGCGCGCGCCCTCGGCGGCCGCCGTCTTGACCGCCGCGGCCTTGCCCGCGGCCGCGGTCTTGAGCGCGGCGCCTTTCGCGAGCGTCGTCTTCGCGATGGCCAGCTTCGTCTTCAGCAGCACGACCTTGAGGCGCGCCAGCGACGCGCTGTAGGCCAGGTAGCGCTCGCCGCCGTGCTCCGGCTCCGGCGGCGCCGGCTCCTTTGGCGGCTCCTTGGACGCCTCGCAGAGCGCGGCGCCGCCGCGGGCGCCGTAGGCCAGGGAGCCGCCGTAGGCCAGGGACGCGCAGGCCAGCGCGCAGCGCTCCCCGCTCCGGAAGCAGGCCGCGGCGAAGCGCTCCAGGGACGCCATCGTGTGCTGGGTGGCCGGTCGAGGCCGAGGTCGCGCGCGCTGCCGAGGTCGAGGACGAGGTTGAGGCGCCACAGCATCTCCGCAGCACCTTGTCGTCAACGAGGGGGCGCGAGCAGCTATCCTGGAGTTTCGCGGCCCGCACCAGGACGCCCCCCTTTCAGACGGTCGGCCGCGCTTTAGTCGACACCTAGGCGCCCATGGGGCGCTGGAGGCGGTAGTGGAGGATGACCTCGATGTCGACGTCCGTCGCGAAGTGGGAGACGATCTGCGCGAGGGAGAGCTGGTCGTTGAGGACGACGCACTGGTTCTCGAGGGCGATGAGGAGCTCGAAGTCGTCGACGGGCGCGTACTTGAGCTTCATGCCCAGGAACTTCTTCAGGTGCTGGACCTTGAGCTGGTCCGACGTGCTCAGGTACTCGCGCGCGAGGCCCGGCACGCCCGTCTCGTGCGGGTGCACGCGCAGCACGAAGTTGACGACGTTGGGCTGGGCCTTGGGCGCGCGCGGCGGCGGCGGCGCCTCGCGGGCCGCGCGCTTGGGCTGCGGCGCGGGCGGCCGCGCGGGCGCCGCGCGCCGCTTCGTGCCCGCGCCCGCCGCGACGGCGCGGCGGTCGCCGACGGCGTCCTGGCGCGTCTCGGCGCGCTGCTTGTTGAAGGCGGCGATCATGCGCTCCTCGTAGCGCTCGAAGGCGCCGAGGTCCGGGTAGATCTTCGAGATGAGCGCGTCGAAGTTGGGGTCGGGCCGGAGCGACCGCCGGCTCGGCACGTGGATGCGGCAGCTCGGGCACTCGTTCTTGCCCACGCGCAGGCACTTCTGGATGCACTCGCTGCAGAAGCGGTGCAGGCACTCCATGACGATCTTCGTCTTGTGCAGGATCCGCTGCGGGGGGGCGGCGGTTTCGGTGTTTCGGTCCCGCGCGCGCGCGCGCGGCGGGCACCCCGGGCGGTTGGCGCCCCGGGCGTTGCGCGCGCGGCGGGGGCGGGGGCGGGGGCGCGGCCGGACGCGGGCCGCGCGCCAGGCACACCGGGCAGGTGAGCTCCATGTTTAGCGTTCGGCTCGTCCGCGTGACGAGCGCTTGTTCGTCCTTTACGACCGGGCGGTGTTCGAGCTCGTGGTCGTCGTCGTCCAACACGCCCTCGGTACTCAGATTTCGACTCATCGCGCTCGCTCCGGCTGCCGCTGTGCTTGTTCACCTTCGGCGCTCTCGAGCTCTCCGAGGCGCTCGACCCGCCGCTGGGCCGGGCGGCCGGGGTCCGCCGCGCGGCGGACGACGCCCTCCCGACCGGTCGGTCGTCGCCGGCCCGGCAGTTTCGAAAGGGGCTTAGGGGGGACACGGGGACGCGGCGCCGACGCCGCCACGGGGGCGCCGCTAGCTCACGGCGCAGCTGTTCTTGCGCTGCTTCCGCGCGGAGCTCTTCTTCGCCTCCTCGTCGAAGCCGTAGAGCGCCGCCTCGAGCTGGGCGCTCTTGGCCCGGGCGCTCCGCACGCGCGGCGGCGAGTTCGGCGGCATGACGGGCACGGCGGCGAGGAGCGCGCGGATGTGCTCGAGGTCCTCGCGGTCGCGCGCGAGCGTGAGCGGGTTCTTCCGCGCCGACTCGCGGTTGCGGCTCAGGTGGCGCGCGAGGCCGTCCGTCGTCGTCTTGCGGATGATGATCTTCACCGCGTAGAGGTCGTTCGCGTCGACCTGGGAAAAGGCGGGTGCGGGGGGCGCGCGCGGCGCGGAATCGGGAGGAGAGCGCGCGCGGCGGGGGGAGCGCGCGCGGCGACCTCTCGGTCGGATTCCGCGCGTTCGGGCGCGGACCGCGGACGCGCCCCTTCTCGACGCGCGGATGCGCCCGAACGCGGCCCCCGAGGTCGCCGACGAGGTTCGCCGGCGCGGGAACCGACGGCGTACCAGAGCAGCGACCGCTGCCTCGCGTCCAAAGTGTCGAAGAGCGCGTCCTTGCCCCAGTCCTCGCCGAGCTTCTTGACGCGGTCGCTGAATTTCTTCTTCGCCGCGTCCGACGTGCCGAGGGGGATGAGGGCCAGGCACTGCTTCCAGTCGTCGGCGTACCTGCGACGCGTCGGGTCGCGCGCCGCGCCGGCGGCTCCGAACGACGCGGGCGCCGCGCGACGGCCACTCGGAGCGGGCGCGCGTGGACGCGGCCTTCTCGTAGCCGCCGTCCGCCGGGGTCACGGGCGTCCAGGGCGGGGGCTCGTCGTAGCGGCCCGAGGGCGGCGGGCGCGTCTTGCGCGTCGTCGAC